AATATCAAATTCAGATCATTCCATTTTTAATTGCGGCAAAGATCCGGTTTGAGCCCGCGAGACCTTGTGGTGAACAGAAATCCCATATTCTAAGACTTTTAAATTTCAACAATCAGGGTTGACACTGGTCTTTTAGACACACCACAATCATCGAGACTTTGAGGCACATGCCTGTCAATCAAATGGTTAACAGCGACCGGAAGTTGCAGCGCGCATATCCTTGTCGATTGATAAAATAAACAGTTTACATTTTAGCTGATTCTGATTGCATAGTAAATATTTATTAACCGATTCCTGTTATATGTTTGCAGAAATTAGTGCAAGATAACACACATTATGATGTACCACGTCGGCGATATTTATTACCAGTTCATAAAGACGCAAATGGTCCAAACTGTCAATACCAGGCATTCAGAGGAGCTATGAAATTCGCCATGGCAGAGAACCGGACGTTGGTTGAAATGTGGTTTCGTAATCATGGATCAGCTGGTAGAGCTTACAGTGGAAGAAAGTTTGTCAACGAAACATTTGATGTTGATAGCATAAAACAGGTTGTTGATTTGGTATCTGTTGAGGAATTTCGAAAAGCGTGTAATGGAACTGTCGATGGCATTCTCATAGATCCATTTAGCGTTCATCTTCCATTACTTTCATACATTGAAGAATATAAAATACGCCGTAATGCGTTTACTGCTGAATATGCAATAACACTCCCAGGTATCAATTCAGTGCCAAGAACTCCCGAAGAGCAAATCAGACAATATGAAAGAGCACGTACTGTGGAGTGTCTTGCATATTTCGAGCCAGATAGACTGAGTCCAGTGAGAGTACCAGCTAATATTACGAGGCAGGTGGATCTACATCTTATCAGAACTCCTCAAATCAGAAAACTTGCTGAGAAGATTTCAACTGAAATCTGTAATAATAAACCCTTCATCTGTATGCACTGGAGAAACAGATCAGGGGAAGTGTAAGTTCGTGATTTTAATTTGTCAAATAGTTTCTTGTTGTAAAATACCACATTATAATCGTTTTACTTTAAATGAGGTTCATCAATATATGTCACTTATATCCATTGGAAGTTGAGCTTGCAGAATGTTACTAACTCCAACTCAGCTAACTCCTGATTATTCCCAGTATAAACACTGAGGCATTTAATAAGTTGAGTAATTAAACGGAGAAAGTATAAATGATATAAAAGTGTAATTCTAAATGTGTATTATTGTAGGCATAATGAATATTATTATATGTAGGCATAAAATGAATCTCAAACCAAAAGGCAGTCCTTATCCTTTTTTTTGTATGTTGATTTGAGAAAAGCAACCGCCACTAAAATGTAAAACTTAAAATGCAAGTCACCAAAATCAGTCATTGTCTCAACCTCTTCTAAAATTATCATGACAATTTGCCCATAACATTTACAGTTATCTAGCAATGGTATATAATAATTTTCATGGCAACCAGACAGAGAAACAATGCGCTTAAAGAAATAAGTTGACTAAGTTGGATCTACTGCAGCAGTAGGTGTATTTTAGAGGTGGCTAAGGTGAGACCCAGGTTAGCGGATGATTAAATTCGAAGCAATATTTTACAGTGATGATGGCATTTGACTCGTTACATGTTTTATATATATATATATATAGTTATTTCCGTGTGTGAAAATGTGTTTTTCTTTTCCAACTACTAAAATGTATGCGTGTTTTCCTAGAAAAAGTCTTTTTGAGTTATTTTCACTCAAACCATACGTACGGAAAACAGTTGCGGAACCCCTGTCTATTGTTATGATTTGATCAGTAAACTGGAAATCAGACCGTGTCCGAATTGTACAGTGTGAGCCTTAGTTGTCTTGAAATCAGAGTCAAAAGTGAACACATCTGTCTGAATTTATGAATAAATTATCGTTTGTTCGTATTCATCTCAAGTACGGTGAATAGTCGTCTCATAGTTTGTTGCATGTTGATATGTTTTGGAGCTATTGTTAGTTTTCTGTTATTCAAACTTTATGTATTTCACACAATATTCGGGAGTTCATGCACATTTCCATAACTGATTCATCGAATGAATATTATTCACTACAAATGAAACATGATGTGTAATTTCTGTTCAGTTTATTATATCATGGAGAGTTAAGTGTTATTGTAGTGAAATTCAATTTCATTTTATAGAGCCCATTGTCCATCTGTCACGCAGTGTGGGAATTTGACAACTGTTATAAATGTGAACAAGACCGCTGTTGTGCTGGCTGAAGATGTTAAAAAGTTGATGTCTGAACGGAAACTAGAGTGCATTTATGTGGCATTTCCGCCACTGGGAGAGGTAAGCGTGCATTTTATGTGTTTGCATCACAAGATTCATACTGCTGTGGTTCGAAACTTTGTCTAATATATTACACAAGTTACTGTACAGCTACTGCGACAATTATACATGGGTAATCAACGGTGACTCAAGACGAATCCACTGATACAGCACTGGGTTGGTCATGTATTGCAATATATGTTGAGTCGAATGTTTTTTTGCATTTATTTGCGTGTTCGAACAATGTGCTTGCATGACCCGTGTCGGATGCGACACCTCAAATATTGAAACTTTTTATAAATTATTAACGTTTATCTTCTACAGAAAATTGTGAAAATCCTGAAGAATGCACAAATTCGCAATGTTGTTACAAGAAAGGATATTACGGGTGACTCGTATCCGGTAAAACTACCGGAAAATGTGAGACTAGATAACTATCACACTGCACTACTTGAACAAGAAATCTGTATTCGTAAGTACACTTTTTATATTGCAATTTGACCTTCTATATAACCATATTCAGCTACCCTCTCTTCTACTATAACTTGACATCCTTCTATTCATTTACTATATACAATTACGTACCTCTATTCTTTTACTATATCCACATTTTCCCCTTTTCAACTACCTTATCCGCAGTCTATTGTTTACTTTTCTAATGCATTCATATTTTATTCTTCATAGGTTCTCATTTGTTTCTATCTCACTATTCATCATTGTCGAAGATGATACGAGACGCACGTGATACACAGCCTGGATTAGAGTACATACATCTGTCTCATTTAGCCAGCTGGAAAGCTCCAGGAGTTGTATTGAAGAGGCGGAAGTTATAGGTATACGATGACGCAGCTGATAATCTGAGTTAAAATCAGATATATAGATAGTATGAATAGTGGTCGTGCACAAACAAAATCAATATAAAATTGGCATATATCGTTTTGTCAATTAATAATATTCTGATATATGTTGAATCTTATCTTTTTCACAATCAAGTGGTAACAAGCCTTGGAAGACAACAATGATTTTTACGTGTTTATAGTAATAGTGGGTTCCATTAACAATATTATAACAAACGTTTCGAGGGTTAATATGTGCTGATATTAGAGGAAAGACAAACTCGTATTAGATATGTGATGAGACTCGTCTTGTTGAGTTCATATTTTTCTGTGTTTAATGGTGGTCTCGGAATTTCTGGACAACTTTGAAAAGTCATTCCCACTTACTTGTTTTATTGAAACAAATTACTGCTAAAATAATTTAGCATGACGTTCTTTGAATCATGAATATTATATATATTCATAATAGTATTCATATATAATAATTATGCTGGGAATAACTATGGATACAACCTTCATGAAACAAGAGTCGCTCGTCGAAGATACCAAATGGGTGGCGCCTATCAATGATCATATAGTATAGTTGTACTAATAGGTCTATATCAACTGTACTTGCATTTTGTGGGGTCGATGCACATATGCGTAACCAACACATGTTCAGCTGAGAATCATTCACCGTGACAGATGTGCAAAATGGAAATGTGCAATATTCACACTGCCTTGTCGCAATATTGAAATAATATGTGTGTTTTAACAACATACTATATCCAGTTATATACCAGTAATATTTTTTTCAAATGTATTCGACTTCATCTACTATCATAAAATTTGGAATACAGACTGCTACTGTTATACGTATATCAGCATCTACACTGTACTTTACTCATAAGTTCAAATTACTTGAGTAACGTATTATTATATGTTGGTGTATTTTTGGAGACTCGTACTTATATGTGGAATACAGCTGTCACGAGGTTGATTTAAATATTTGAATAAATTATACAAATGTTGGGTTCTGAATATCACTCGTGTCGCGGGGTTCTTTTACCCGTACCAAATTAATTGTTTATAGTTCTAAGTAGATGGTTGTGGTGGAGTGGTTGTGATCAGTTCAGCAATATGTTTGGGAATACGAACATACCGATACAGCATACTAGAGAAACTAATCAGTAACAAATAAAGAAATTTAATTAATCACGGAAAACATACATTACAAATTACATTAACCACTCCCCCAAAACAAGGAAAATAAATAAAAACAGCTCGCGTGGGATTATGAGCACCTAGAGCTGACAAACACGAGCGATTAACTTATAATAAAATAAATGATAGATTAATAATAATGGTGTAGCTACACAACTTCAAAACAAAATACGGCATTCCCCGTTCCAATACTTTGTTGATACCAAAATACTTGTCTTAATTAATCGGTTAATGCATGTAAGATAAATTAATCATAAAACATACAAAATGCGTTTCAAAAAATAATATACTTGACTAATGGAAAGTGTGGGTGTGGGGTTCGTACGACTTGCAGTTATGTCCGTAATGGACATAAACTCGTTGTACGTAGTCTAAGAACAGAGTGTAGCCACCACCAGGATAGTAGAAGTGGCGAAAGAACGATGTTACAAGTTGAGATCATTCCCCGCGGAAACCCAACGCTGGTTAGACTTCAGGAAATGTTCAAACAGCCATTTGTGTCACCACAACTTCCAGAATCTGGGACTAACTTTGTCAAGGGTCCTCCTCCAACGTGATGTGAAGAAGCAACCATTATGTAGTCGCTGTACACTTGGGATTAACATCACAATACACTGGATCTTAAAAGTGAAACCATTCACTGCACAGGGACAAATGACATCTCACAATTACACAATATAGTGTTACGTTCTATATATTCACTATGCTATTTATCATGTGTTTGTTCTTTTGTTTTTACTGCGTATTTATGTAATTATGTATGCCAAATTGGTGTGTAGTATTTTGGGTGTGAACAAAATGTCGAACAGTTTCATATTAGCCTATAGAGGGCAGTGCTCATGTGATCAGGTTATGTACGATTTCGGTCACGTGTGACTTTATTGTCACTGGGCAAAACTGTGACCATGCCCAAAGACGCAATCAGTTGTCTGTGATTATCTATAATTTGCAGTAATCGTGACTATATTAAACACTTTATTAATTGAGTACCAAATACAATTGATATGAATCAATTCTTGTAGTGTATTTTAGAAATAAAATCGCTAATATTTTAACTTATTTGTTGCCAATATATACATCCAGCGTTTCAATTACTCATACCATCATTATTTATCCATTTACGTCATGTTTATACAGCGCCACTTACGTCATAAACACTTACTAACAGTTACTTGCACTGCCATTGTGATACAAAATGGCAACAAGTAAGGAAAGAGTACTTCTTTGTCTGGTGTTGATCTCTATTCCTATGTGTGGTATTTACTTTGCGTGGTCAACAAGCACAATTATTATAGGAACGTTTTTGCCCAGAAGTTATTCCAAATTGAGTGGTAATTTTAGTGAGAGTGATCATGGGAATATATTCCCAAACAATACAGAGGCGTATAGCGGTTATATGAACAGAAACGTGAAACATGGGGATGACATAAAAACGATAACAAAAACGGGAGTGTTTGGTGACAGAAGTTTTTCAGATCCAACGACGACCCACGATATAAAAAACGATACACCGGAATTAAGGAACAGTTCAAAGGTAAGTTTACTTCCAAAGGTTTACATGATGCCCCAGAATCACCTAGTGTTCATGAACTTGGTTTTTGAAATGTACAAATGTCGCATTAATAAACATTCCTCCAACACACGCAACCTATTTCTGGTCAACACAACTGACATGGTGATGTGGCAAAGTAAATACTATCGTTAACACTCGAGTGGAGCGAAACGATTACTTACGAAGCCACCAATGACGGTTGTAGTGAGTTTAAAGGGCTAATATTATGATTGTTTCTCCGATAAGAACAACGTAAAGTTTACAATAGCGCAAGAATGTTTGCATTTTTATTTTGAACACTGTCGCCATACGTCTGACAGGTACGAGGCCCGGCATGACCGGTCTGAGGTTACAGCTTTGGTTTCAAAAAACAAAACTAATACGAGTTTACAAATTTACCCTAACTTAGTCATGCATACATTCTGGTTTCAAATACCCCCCCCCCAACATAGTCACAAGGTATCATGCATATTTTTAAGGGAACGCGATCACAACACCACAGGTGGATTTTTTTGTAATGAGCATATTGTGTGGTACGCTGTGCCACTCGAGTCCTCTAGTAATATAACCACTGGGCTTGTCATCCTTTGCTTTACTGATTACGAGAGGAGGTGGGATTTAATACTACTAACATATGGGATTACAGGTGATTGTATACCATAATAATCAGTACATACGGTAGGGTAAAATAAAGGTCAATGGCAGATTAACAGATTAATTTACTTCAAACACTGCTAGTACTAGTATACGATTCATCCTATGCGTAAGGAAAAACACTCCCATAATGGGAATATATAGAGAATATGGATCAATTTGCAACACATCAAAAGACAAATGAATAAATGCTATAACACACCAAACGAATTTGTGAAGGATTGCAGCATTCTATAGTATAATTACAGATGTATTGTAATATAGTTTCGTATGTTAATGACAGTGAATCTGTAAATGTAATTGGCGATCCGCTTCGCTAGAATCATTTTTGTCGTTTTGTGTGTGTGTGTGTGTGTGTTTTCACGTATTATTTCTTCTGTGATTTTTCTGGCTTTGCCGATTTCGCTCACACTTGGAAGGTAGGACACACCTTCACCCTAGTTATGAGGAAAAATCTAAAAAAAAAATTGGTCCATCGTTGCCATAGCAACAGCCCAAAAACTGATTTTTGGATAGCTTCGCGCCAAATGTATCTCCTACAAATTTAGGACAAAACACTTCAGACATAGCTCATTGTACTCAGCTTGATATCTTTTTTCATTACCCAGAAATTTCACCCCAAAGTTGGGTAACGTTTTACCAGCAATGGCTTTTAACTCTGTGATATTTTCGGCCCGGCTGATTTTGTTCATACTGCACTTGTAGGTTGGACCCTCACTAATTGGAAAAAAATCCCGGCCCACCACTGCATTGCAACATCTAAAACCTGGTTTTTGAATACTTTCGCCCCAAATGTATTACCTCCTACCAGTTTTGTAATAGTGTTCAAATGATCATGCTTTTTATTTTGACTACGTTGCCACTGGAAAGAGATCGCCGACGCAGACATTGTTACACTGTATCAACGTAATCCCAACACAAAATTGAAATTTGAATGAACTGTAAATGGTGCCTTCATTCAACACTATCGCAAAACGGTTGGAAATAATAAATGTAACAGCAGAATACGTCCTAGTAATAAACTAAGTGACTTCTAAAGACTGAATGTTTGTGCGAACTTCGTATACGGAGCTCATTTAGTTATAAAACGACGTTAGCTTCACGTTTATGTCACACCATGCGGAAACAGCCAAAAACATGTTGCTTGTTTTTGAGCAGAGCGGATTGCCAAACCAGCCTACAGGCTTGTTTTCTAATTTGTTTGCACTTTTTGTTATTGTCTTATAATTTTAGTGACATTACTGCTTTCCAAAGACAGTGTTGTGTAAATAAATAAATAAATAAATAAATAAATAAATAAATAAGATTATGTGATGCTATGAAAGGAGCTAAATGCGATAAAATCAAATTTAGAAAAATGTAATAACAATAGACAATGAATAAACTAATATATTATATGTATAACATAACATAACATAGCCCCTAACATTTCGTTGTTTTCTATTGGTATCAGTATTGTGTATATGTAAGTTCCACAATATAATGATGCTGCGACCAGTATTCCTATTCTGGAATATACAACACATGCATCAATTTCGAAATACAGTTACTGTAGACCAGCAGGTGCATTGTACAACCGTAATGAGCT